AATTCAAGTATTTGAATCAAGGATTGTCCTTTATATTTGCAAAAAAATGCCCTTTATGTTATGTTTTGGTAATTTTACCTTTTATTCTTTCCCCTTCCTCCCTTTTTATTTTGAATTCCTTCAAAAAGTGCAAAATAAAAAATATATTTAAAAAAACAGATGTGTCCTTATATGTAGAGATAAACAGAGTAAAATGCCCAAATATCCAGAAAGGAAGGAAAAAGGAAAGAGGGAGGGGGGGGGGGGGGGGACACAACAGAATATCAGCAGACCCTCCTTGCCCATATAGGCACACAGCACATGACCATCAATTACCTCACATTTTTGATGGAATCCGATCCAACCAGAGTCTGGAAGACCCACTTTAATATGACTCACTTATTTACGGCCTCTAATGAGTGAGGTAAATCTTTCACCAGTGTTTATCAAACACTCCTAGGGAGTTAAGGTCTCAGGAGCCTAACAAAGAGACTCCTTAGCGGGGGCCATATTGCCAGAAGTCTGGAGCTAGGAACTTCCATTACTGGTGACCACTTCAACATGTAGAAGGAAAGGGGGATTGTGCAAATTGCTGATCCCTCAACAGAGCAAACCCCATGCACCCACCTCACGTAGTGTGGGCACTTCAAGCTCTGTAGTCACTGGGCCCCGAGATGACTGTGAGTGGCTAGGACCTGGCTGTGCACCCATAACAGCATTTTCTCTCAGGGTGGCCGATTCTCTGCAGGGCCAGCAGATAGGCAGGCACTCAGAATGGCCATAACCTCAATCAGTTGTGCGACCAGCCCCCAGCAGTGCCCTTTCCACACTGCTTTGTTTCATTCCATGCACTAATTGACATACCCAAATCTCCATGGGGGTGCTGGGATCCACACACCTCTTGCAAGCCTCCATAGGGACCATCCCTCTGACATTGACCAGCTCTGCTTCAGTTTGCAAAATGCTACCAGACAAGTCATACTGCAGTGGTGGCTCTTGAACACCGCATTGCCATTGATGAGACAGCCCCTTCTGATCGACACAGGGACGCTGAGGGTCCAGGATATCACCCAGAGCTTTTCCCAAGAGCACCATTGATGCCATTCTCATTGACTATTCCTTTTTTACCTCCCTCTGCCCTTTGCTCACCCCTCTTTCCGAAAGGGAACTTGGACCTCCCTGCAATTTCTGTATCAGCATTGTGCTTTGTTGACTGGAAAAAGTGGGGGTTGACCTGTTGTCTATCACTCTCAGCAGTATTGTCAGGATGATGCCCATGTCCCTGTTGTGTGTGGAAGGGTCATGTGGCTCACACAGCAGCATCCATGCCAGCCTTCCGACCAGAGCCCACAACAGACAGACACACCAGAGTAGGGCAAACTGAGAGAACGTTAATGAAGGGAGCCAGATACTAGCAGGTGGTTAGAGTAAGATCCCAGCTCTTTGGAGACCAGCACCAAGTGCTTCATGCCCTCCAGGAGTGCCCTGGCCCATGGGACCCAAACTCCTGGCCTTCCATGGGCCACTTTCTGCTGTGAACAGGGGTCATGGCTTGTGGCTCAGTGGTTGGTCTGATAGCTCTCCCTGTTGGATCAGCACCTGCATTAGGAAGGAAACAGATGGAGGAGCAGTGGTCAACATCCTTTGTTGACAGCTTGGCAGGCACAGGGAAGTCTCACAGGGGCTGCCACCATGCAGCTCAGCAGGCACCTTCTCAGATGCTTCGATGCCAAGAAGGCAATCCCCCCCCCCCCCCCCCCGTACTGAATTTTGATCTTCCTCAACTGTCTTGCTCTCAAGTCTGAACCAGCACCTTTTGGGGGGAACACTTCTTCAGCTGCGTCAGGGTGATCTGCTCTTGCAAAGGAAAGGGTCCAACCAACATGTGTCCTTGCTCAAGACTCAGGATGGTGGGGCTTCCCAGTTGCAGCAACGTTCTGTGCAGGGGGAACCCTGACAACTGGTGAGGCCGGCTGGCCAGAGCATGGGTGTCACCTTAGGCCCCTTCCCCCAGCAGCTGCCTTGAGTGAGCCCCCTCACACCTAACAGTTTGGTGCACGAGGACTGTGGGCAGGTGGGGGAGCGCTGTGTGCCCCTCCCCCCGCTGGGGTCAGGAGTGGTAGATGTCGTGGCCAGTGCAGCTCAGTGACACAGCTGCCCCTTCCTCCAGCAGCTGCCTTGATTGAACCCCCCTCACACCTAACAGTTTGGTGCACCAGGACTGTGGGCAGGTGGGGGAGCGCTATGTGCCCCCCCCTGCTGGGGTCAGGAGTGGTAGATGTTGTGGCCAGTGCAGCTCAGTGACACAGCTGATGGTCATGGGAGGAAAGGGAGTTAGGGAAAGGGTAGCTTGCTTACCTGTTCATGCTCAGCTACCCCTGTGGATCCTGGGAGAGAAAGTATCTGTTGGGGCAAAAGCTGGGAGAGGTAAGCCATGAAGTGTGGACTTTGCTCTCCCTGTGGTATATGGTATGTTTCCGCCAAGTGCTTGCCTAGTGCTGCTCAGTGCCCTCTCTGTGTTTTTCCTGCCATCAAGGTGTGCCTGCACTCACTCTAAGTGTATATGGCAGGGAGCTGTCAGATAGTATCCTGTGCTGCGTGCCATATCTCGTGAGTTGTGGGGCAACTTGTGGGAAGCATTTGTAGGGTGGGGCAGCCATGATTGGGTGCTGGGGAGGGGGGGGACACAGCCAGTGTGGGAAA